TAGTCTGTAAGAAAATCGGTATTTTAGTTTACCTGGAAAGACCTAAATATTGAACATGTTTTCATAGTTTGCCTTTTCGAGCAACTATCTGACCTCCGGCCTTGTAAAGTACTAACTCGAATTCTTATCATACTTTTGAAAATGGAATGATCCCTTGCGCTCCTTGATTTATTGTAAATTCTTCTGATGAAGTGTAATCTTGATTGTGGGTCGTCTGCTGATTATTTTAATTTTCTATAGAAAATTAATTATCTATACTGTTTTTTAGTTTTTTTTTTTGGTCATTACCCATCTTTGTGGTAGAGCACTTTTAAGTACATATTCGAGAGATTTAATTATTGGACTTTCTTGCAGATAAACAAATGGGCTGTGGCGGCTACTTCCAGCACCCCTCAGGTGCGCAGTTTGCGTAAGGCAAATAATGACCAAGTTGCCATTGCCATTGATGAGGGTCCCACTAGCAGTTCTAGGTTAGAAGATGAGGACGACGATAAAGGTATTATACACGGTTTATCTATAATAGCTGTTATCATCTTGTGTCCTGCTGAGGATTTCTCTCACTCGATTTCTTCCTTCTCAACTACAGTCCATGGTTTCAAGTCACTTACAACATCAAGAATTGTCCCAAAATTTACAAGACCTTTGACAGACATGGTTGACGGGCTCTGGTAGGTATCATAACTTGTTCTTGTTGTTCATCTAGAGACTTGACCAAACTGAGAGTAATATATATACTTGTATCTGTAACCGAACAGGGTTTCTTGTGACCGGGCATTGATGAGACAACCTGCTTTGCGGCTTGGCATTATCATGTATTGGGCTGTATTGCATGCACTCCTTGCTTCTTTTGTAGTATAAGCAGAGGAGACTGGTGAGTGAATCCTCCTTATCAGTTAGAATATTCATTCTATGTTCCATGGTTCCTTTGCTTGATCTCATGTTTGTGACTGTTTCTCTCTGTATCTACATTGTGTATTGAATCTATCAACTGTCCCATGGATGATTCATGTTGGTAAAAAGGGCTGTTGATTAGCTGTTGGTTTGACAGGCATTTGACGAATCAATGGAAACTAGAAATTTTCTAATCAAGTCTTGTGATGCTTTTTTTCTGTGTGGACGCATCTTCCACCAAGTAACTCTTGAGTGTGACGATATTGGTCTTCTGGTCTTAGCTGCTTTTAGTTGTCGAGACATTTATAGACCATAAAGGAGGTGTACCACTCCGGCTGAATTTTTTAATAAAATAATTGGATGGCTGGTGTATTGTCTGGCAATAGAATAGCTTTTCTGTGAACCAAATGGGCATTGAATGCTGGTTGATTGACCTAGGTTTGCCTACATTAGGAAGATAGTCACTTTTTGAAATTTTTACTCTCCTGGACATCACCTTATTTTCTTGCAATTTGCTGTGCTCCAATTACAGTCCGAATACATTTGTACCTTGAGTTCTTAACCCAATTACAGTTAGTAGGCCACTGGTCCATACCCATTTGTAGACCCACTTACTCAGATTTTCTACAGGTTTTGCCTGTATTATTTCTTCAATTTTTTGTTAGAGGCTCAAGGGAACCAATTTTGTCTCATGATACACAACCCTGATTGATAATTCCTTGATTTCTTTGGAAAAATAATAGGCAAATAAAAACCTAATGAGCATGTTGGCATCCAGTGTATTACTTTTATCTATTAATCAAATTTGACCCAATATTTGAATTGATCTTGTAGTTCTTTTCTTTCCTTCGAGTAATTGTTCTTACTTGGTTTAGGCTTTAATACTTTTCATCACAGGCAAACACATTGCAACCGGTCCACCTTTTTGAAAGTATACTTTGACATCCCCTGTTAAATTATAGCCATGTATCTTACATTCATGAGAATTACTTTGACTTCCCTGCTATATACCAAACAATAAATAAAATATTTCTAATTTGACCGTTTTTATTCTTTTCCAATCTGAATGGATTGAGAAATGTGGATTTTGTAATAATGGTTCCCATGTAGTGGCCAACTTGCATCATAGGGATTATAGTTTGAAAAGCTAAAGTAAAATGACATGTTTCCACCCTTTGTTTGTTGAGGGCTGATCAAGTCTATTTCAATTGGGGCAAGCTCTCTAGCCCTTGAAAATATTATCATTTTTTATATTGGTGTTTAGATGAACTTTTCATTCACGATGATACCTGCAGTTCAGTTGGATTTAGAAAGATATAAGAGACCAAGTCTGCATTATCTTGTTATTTCTCTGGTCGTTTGGTGGCTGGGGAGGGTGGGTGTTGAGGGGTTTTCAATAACTTCAAACAACGCAAATTGTGTCTCTCTAGTGTTGCTAAAAGTCAGTGATCAATTCAAATTGAAGATGTTATTGGAGATTAGTAACTGGCAAAAAATTACAGTGAAGACAGACAGAATATGACAGCAAACTATTGCATATTTTGAAAACATTGGCAATGTCGAGATAAAGTTTGATCGGGAATATCATTTAAAAAAGGGATTTCATAAATGAGCACGCAAAGCCAACTCATATTTGATCACTCGATGCTATTCTGAGGATCAAAGCAAAAGAACTCATTATTGCCTTCTAACAGCTCGATCTTATGCATTCTACTAATTATCTATGTCAATCAAGAGTTTTTGTATGGGTTGGTTTGAAATTTGTTATTAGTGATTATTTGGTACAATTCTAGATCAAGAACCGTTCATTTTACCTAGTATAAGTAATGAGTTCTTAACTAACCAATTTTTCCCTCTGTAGTTTGTATGCAGGTTATCCGGTTGTTGTACAATTCGATGTTATCAACCATGTTGAATTCATTTGAGTGGGCACCAAGCTTGCCTGGCAGATCATTTTTGTTCTCTTTTTTTTTTGGGTTCATTAGATATATTGTCAAGGTTCGTTTATTATTTTAGCTAAACCAGGCAACTGCGATTTCTCAGGTTTTTTGATATATGTGAATCTCAGGATGCTTGGTTGTAGTTGAATAAGATGGAAAAAGGAAGTTCTGGTGACCATTATAGGATTAAACTGATTGCTAATTGTATCACATGACTCTTTGTTGTGAACCATACAAAAGGTTGTACATCTCCTATTATTTCAAATGTTTGAAAACTGGCCTCTTCCTTTGATGCACACAAGGCAATCAGCCGTTTCTTTCTGTGTCTGCAGCGGTTGATGTCGTATCTTCCTTTTGAATCAGTAGGCCCACGAAACCGTATCATCTGAAAAGCTGCTCTCGCAGCAATTCTGGTTTTAGAAAGGGTAAGATCCCTGGTTTTATCACTGTGGGCTTCCGAACTCATCGGTATGAAGTCCGAAGATTCACCTCCTGTCCTGCTCGTCCATCGCTTCAGCTTCTTCCTGCAATCATTCTGTTATTGCGCGAATTAAGTTCCGAAATATCCAATTTCTGTCTCTGCTCCCCTGGCTATGTATGCGGGCGTCTGTCGATGCTCCGAGTGTCCTCGAAACCTCCAGACTCTGGTTGCCGGCTATAATTTGGCTGGCCGGTGAGTTTGGGGCCTTATTTGAGATAAAAATGGCCACGTTAGATTCTTATTTGAGACAATATTTATTCTAGACCATCTTTTGAGAAAAATAGATGCTAATTTGAAACTTTCCCTACGAACACCAATCACAGCTGTATGATAGTTAGATGAGTTCCGAATTTCAGGAAAAGGTGACAATCACGCCCCTTTCCTCCACAATCTCAAGTTCTATTTACGTAGCACAAATAATTTTCTCTCTAGCTTTTTAATTTGCGAGGTCCATAACTCATCACAACGCAGTATAGAAGCCATGCCGCCCGGAAGGAAGAGCCTAGAGTATCAATATAATAAATCAATAGAAAAAAGAAGAACAAAAGAGCAGAAAGAAAAAGGCTTCAGAAGATGTACGAGAAAGAAGCGACGATGATTTATCGAGACAACCCGGTGGTCGGAGGCTAGGCCACGTCGATCGTGTTCATACTTCTTTTTACTCTCAGTCGTCGGAACACGATTGGCTGGCAGGTGATAATCGCATGGTTGTTGGAAGTGATGATGATCGACTCTCGTGGTGTTGGTCCTCCTGTGGTGGCCGGTGAAGCAATATCGGATGCATCACTCCGTCACTCCATGTTCCAAGATAACAAGTTTTTGTTAAGATTATTTTAAATTTATTTATCTAATCCGGATTTATTCCACCCGGTATTTTATGCAGGACTCAAATCCAGACTATTAAATATTGCTCATCTGACAGCAACAAGTTTGGTGGTAATGTCATTTCATAACTTGGTATTAGAGCTCCTTTCCTGAGGTGCACCCGGTGCACTTTGCATCAGGTGCACCCCATGCACTCATAGCAAAATAATTCCATCTCGGCCTCTTGACAATGTTATGACACAGGTGATGTGTTGTCAAGTCGAGCTTTTCTTTTTTACGAAGGTTTTTTTTTTCTACGCTAGCAGCAATGCCTAGCTTATTGCGCCTGCTGTAGCCATGCTAGTTGTATCGGCAGTGTTTGTTCAATTACCATTTTGACAACAAAATTAAATTCAATGTATGCATTTTGTTGGCCTCTGATTCTCGATTTTTCACTTTTCATTTTGAGAAGACAACACCACCATAGACTCGCTGACCTCAGACATAGTTTCACCTTGAATAGCCGTCGGTCACCTCACGCATTGCCATGCACAGCCTCGTCACGACTCCACCATGCCCGACGCTGTGCAATGCTGGTTTCGACCATTTCCGTTGTCGTTCGTCTGATTTTGAGACAATGTTCATACTTGAATTCAAACTCAAGTTGACATTTTCCAACGCACCTTGAGTTCGAACTTCGAAGGGGATCTTAGACATATTTTAAAAAGATATTTATGATACTTATTCTGATTTTCATATCTTTTTTGATTATATATATTTGATTCGATTTTCTTAAATAAACTCTTTTTTATATACATATCGAAATGTACATAAATTCGCATGGGCTAATTGGAACTTTTCCCAAGACCCTCCCTGACCCCCGAACATTCAAACGACGAACGAGCAGGTGGTACGTTCCGCTAGGGTTTCTCTGTCACCTTCCTCCCTCGCAGGTAACTCTCTCCCACTCTCCCCATAGTAACGTAGCTGCACAGGTAGAACAGTCGCTGTGATGCGAAGGCTGTATACTATCTGCTGTTTTTGACGTGATCTGCTGATGATCGTGCATCTGTAGCTACTGTAGTTGTCCAAGTATACGACACATACGCAGTCACTCACACTGATGACCCCGTCGATTGTTTCCTCAAAAGATCTCGTGTCTCCGTCTTTTCATTGCGTGCGTGCGTGCGTGCGTGCGTGCATGGGTTGTGTGTTGGGTTTTTTTTTGGAGAGAAATCCAGTGTTGTGTGAGCTCTTTGGCCGCTCAATGTCCTTCGAAGCCATTTAGAGCTCTAACGTGGCATACCCGCATCTCTATAAGCGCACACGGTGTTGTTTATATTAGTTTCATCCGGTTCTTCTGTCGAAAGTGTAGGCAAAAGATCACTGATGATGAGCACCTCCCGTGTTTATTTGTTTCATCAACAATTTGGCAGTTGCGACATCGTTCCCTGTCGCATGGACATTATGCTTGCACTTGTCTAAGTTTTTCCCTTTGTGTTTGACAGGGAAAATGGCACGGGTTTATGTTGGCAACCTGGATTCTTGTGTTACCGAACATGATCTCGAGGATGAGTTTTGCGCGTTTGGAATTATAAGAAGGTCTGGCTTTTGCTTTAAAAAACTTTCATCAACCCCTTGTACTTTTGCACTTACGTGCGGTGAACTACTCTTTAGACATATAGCATTCTGTTTGGTTGCTACCCCAATTACTTGGAAAGTACTCATGCAGCTCATCTAGTGCTCGCCCTCTTCATTCAGAAGCGCCTGGAAGTGAAACGATGCAATTTTCTGTGTGACCCATGGGTTGCTTCAACTTGATTTGTAAGATTGCATCCCGCAGTTGCAATGTGTTCTTGCCTCATCAATCCAAATACTGGAAGAATTACCTACTCTCAAACACAATCCTCTACTATTCGGATCACCTGGCTTGACTCCTAATAATTTGGAATAACAGGATTGATCAGATTGTTGGTGGATTTGATTTTTTTTTTTTTTTGGGGGGGGGTGGTGGGGGGACTAAAGCAAATATTCTCTTTCCTTGTAAAATTAAGAAAAAAGATCTTTAAGCACTACACTCTTGCTTAACGAACTTCTCATCTCTACTACAATTGCAGTTTATGCTTGTTTCCCCTGCTGGTACTAATACTTGATTTGGTTCCGTTATGATATATGCAGTATGTGGGTTGCACGAAGACCATCGGGATATGCTTTTATTGATTTTGATGACCATAGGGATGCACAAGATGCAATCCGTGAGCTAAATGGTAAGTCTAAAGCTCTGTACTTTGGAACATCCATCCCAAATCACAGGCTGCTAAAGCAGCCGTTGTTTATCGTAAATGATTTTTCTGGTCAATGTTGATAATGTTGTTTTTATCCTCCTCATGCAATTAATGGCATTATTTACAGAAGAGCAGTTTGTGCATGTTCTCACGTGCTTTATTCTTTAATATTGGATGATGCAGTTTACATTTGACATCTAGTTCTCTTGAATAAATTTATGAATTTGCTCTTATGGCTTGAGTTGGTTGTGTTGTTTGATGACAAGGAATTTATTTATGATAACCTTGGAGATCATCCTACTTGCCATTCTTTCTTCCTTAACATGTACTGCAATCATTTCCTTATTGTTCGTCACTTGATTGTCTCTTCTTGCATCATTTGGAAGACGGATTGTCGTAGTTGGAAATCTGGTTTGTGTTCTGTGGAAGGATAGAGGTAGCATTTGATGATTCTGAATGGCAAAAGGCATTTCACTTGATCAAATAGGTAAAGATGGATGGAGAGTTGAGCTCTCTCATAACTCTAGTGGTGGACGTGGTGGTCGATCTGGTGTTTCTGATTTTGATTGTTATCAATGCGGCGAACCTGGACACTTTGCTCGGGAGTGCCACCTGCGTGTGGGTTCACAAAGATGTCAAAGTCACACAAGATCCCGCAGGAGCCCAAGCAATGGTCGAAGGTCTGTTTACTCTCAAATATACCTATATTGGAGTTATCTACAAGCTAGATCTTTTGCTCTTGTAACTTGTCTTTCTATGTAAAGTTTGATGATAATCCTTCAATTACATTTTCCCTTCTGGTGAAATGTTGGCAAAGAATTTTGTTTTCGTAAACAGGGGCAAAGTATTGTTGCCTCACTTTTGTTATAAGAGACCACCTCAATATAGGATTACCATTCAAATTACCATTCAATTTGTGTACTTACACTGTCTCGTTTAAATTCAATAGGTTTTTCACTGTGGCCTCTTCTCGAAGATCTCCGACCCCTACCCACTTGAGAGCCGCACAAATGGATTCCGAAGAACTAAATGACCGGATTGTTAAACTCGAGAATCAGATGAGTGTACTCAAGATACTGCTGCCACAATTCATCGATTGTTTTCACCTGATCAAAGAACTTTTGCGTCCTCTGCCTCAAGCCGAGGCGACAGCTTCTGCATCAGCTCCCAAAGAACTTGACGTCGGCTCTAATGGTAGACCGGTCTCGAATGACGGCCCCTCCGATGCTCCAGATGTGGAGGAGTTAAATCCTGTAATTCCCAAGATAGTGGCGCGAAGGGAAGAAGACAGGAATAATAAGCGGATAGCCAAATTAGAAGAAAAACTCAGGCTGTTGCAAGGACTGGACGGAATCGAAGACCTTTCGTACTACGCTAAATTTCAAGTACCGGAGACATTTAAGATGCCTAAGTTCAACAAGTACGACAGCTCCGGGAATCCAATAGTTCATCTCAATCATTTTATGATGAAGATGGCACGCCATGCCGAGAACGCGCCACTTATGATTCTAGCTTTCCAATACAGCTTGACGGGACCGGCGCTGCAATGGTTCTTCATGCGCAGGGTTCATATGCTGGATACATGGGAGGAGGTGTCGGACGCCTTCCTGCTACAGTATAAGTTTAACGCGGACTTAGCCCCCGCTCGTGACGACTTGAGGCGAGCAGAGATGAAGAGGGGCGAGTCATTTGGAGCCTATGCGCGAAGGTGGCATAGCTTAGCGGCGCAAGTATGGCCGGCTTTGTCAGATAAAGAGATGACAGATCTTTTTGTGAGAACTCTGCCATTGGAATATTTCATCCGGATGATAGGCTGCGATACCTTCCCAAACATAGTGATGGTGGGAGAGCGCATTGAAGGAGCGATCCGGGATGGTCAATTGGCTGCTTGAGCTGGGGCAAAGCAGCTCTCAATGATTTCTTTGCTTTAAACCCAACTTTTATATAGTGCTGCACTTTTACTCTTTTTTGTTTTGTCAAATGCACTCAACACTTAAGCTGTGTAAATTAACATCTTTTTGACCCCTCTCTTATGTTTCTGATAATCATAAACTCTGTTTTCTCTAGCGCAGGTCTCTCTCTCTCTCTCTCTCTCTCTCTCACACACACACACATATATGCAGGCATATACAGAGGGTTTTTACAAGTTATGTCCATACTTCCAAAATTATAAGATAATTTGGAAATGGACTTTTTTCCGGTTGTAAAATATGGTAGGGATAATAATACAAATGGTTTCTGAATTTTGGCCCAATGTACAAAACGAAAATTTTAATTTGTTTAATTTGGTCCATGAACTTTTAATTTTTTCAATGTGGTTTCTAAATTGTTGGTATAGGTTCAAACTTGTCTTTGGATTATATGAAAATGTTCGATGTTGTTTCCGAACTTAAATTAATGAAAAAAGAACATTTAACATTTTTATGAAGTCCAAGGATTAGATTGAACATGTATCCAAAGTTTAGAGATGACATTGAACATTGAGATAAAGTTTATGGATCACATTGAACAAATTAAAAGTTCATGGGTCACATTAGGAAAAAGTTCAGAAACCATTTATGTCATCTTCACAATAGGATATTACTGCATAATATGTGTGAACTTTTAATTTAAGTAAGTTGTGTTTGGAATTCTCTCTCAAAATGTTTTTTCATGTATTGAAAAATTTCTGCTAAAAAACAAATAAATATGATCAATGTGTATCCACTTGCCTCGCTGTAGAGATAAAATGTACAATTCAATGATATGCTCTTGCTATGTATTAAACTAACTTTTGGGAAAAAAAGCCATAGTTATGTGAATTCTTTATTTCCTTGATCTTTTTTTCATTTCTAAGTTTGTATTAAAAGATTACCTTCATATAATTTTAATCGTAAAAATGCTACTTTTTTTTTTTTGGTCAGACCTAACAATGCTACTTGTTACTAGTTTGGGCGGTCTTGTTGGGTGACAATTTCGGACACGACATTGGAACACACCTCAAACACAAATGAAAGAAATCAGAACTTGATATCATAGAACTTAAACTCAAAATCAACACGAAATGACATATTTCCATTCTTTTCTTGTAAAATAAAAAGCACTTGTGATTATAACTTAAACATATTTACGACGGGTCAAAATAATGTAAATAACCAACCCGAATACGACAGGGAAACATGAAGTACAAGAGTACAAGCCCTACATAGATTTTGGATCCAGAACATTCCAAATAACCCCCTCAAGTGGGCTTTGTTTTCCTAAAGTGCCCTTGAACTTGAGTTTCTCTCAAACGATTCCCTGAATTTGGCAAGTGCACATCAACGTGCTCTCTACCACCAAATACCGGATAGGATAAAAAGTTATATTATTTGAAATTTTATCCGACCCACCAAACGCAGCCTTAGAGATAAGGAGAGAGAGGCACAGGATAGGAGGAAGCTAGACAATGGCATAGATGGCGCCGTCCGGGCATCGGCCAAGGTCCAACGCCCCTCGATGGGCTCGGACGGACACCGCATTGTCACCGCGAAGGCGATCGTAAGAGCAAATTACTACAGTTTAGAGCTGCTAATCTTCCTCAATAACCGTTAATGAGCCAAAAAGAACAACACAAACGGAATGTTCGAACGAAGAGTCGGGTTGCGCCACGGAGCCTATTACCCTATCGCTCAAAATTGAGATTTGCGGGCGTGACATGAGGTGGTCATGACAACACGAACTAGTTCGCCAGAGGCCGATAAGGAATGTCGGGCCTTTACCGGAACTCGACGAGTACCGTCGCCAACGTCCAGCCTCACTCTCTCCCTCTCCCTCTCGAGTTTTACTCTTCACTGTGATTCTCTTCTCGACGCATCATTCTCGGCACAGAAACGCCCCTAGAATCGACACGCGCGAGGATGCAACTTACGACGACCGGCGATCAAAAGTAGTGTTGGGGGGGGGGGGGGGCAAATTGATGCGATACTCTTCAACATCAAGGGGCTAATTTGAGAATAAAAACTCCAGTGGAGGGGTCAAATTTGCAATATCGGACAAAATTCGGGCCTCGATCGGGAAAATTTCTCGCAAGAGAGACTCGTTTAAAAGGGCCTCTAGGCCTGGCGACGCTCCTGGACCCCCCCACGCACCCCCTCGAAAACCATTCCAACGACGAAGGAGTTTTGGCGTTTGCGTTCCGCTAGGGTTTCCCCCCAGCTCCGTCACCTTCCCTCGCGCTCGCCGGTAAATCTCTGCTCTCTGCTCCGCTCTCTCTCTTCATCGGAGCGTAGCTGCGCACGGTAGTACGTCCGCCGCGCCGCGGTAATCGTCCGCCGTCGTCGACGTGAGCCTGCCGGTAATCGCGGCGCGTCCGCAGGTCCCCCGCGGTTGTCCGAAGCGCGCGGACGTGCGGTCGTTCGGATTGGCGAACCACCACCCCCCGCCCCGCGGATTGTTTCCTCGGAGAGATCGCGTCCCTGTCGTTTTTCCGTGCGGGATCGCGCGCGCGCGGGTGCGGTTTCTCGTCGAAAGTTGCGATTTTGGGGATCCGGGTTCTCGGTCGTGAGACCCCGGATTCGTTGTTTCGCGTCTTGTTGTTCCAGGATTGTTTCGGCTTAATGGGGTTCAATTCTTTGCGCTTTTTCCCTCCTTTGGTTTGCCCCCTTACTCAGTTCTGTTCGGGATGAGCTCTTCGGTTTGTTCGGTGTCCGTGGAAGCCATTTAGGGTTCTGAAGTGGCGTGACCGCATCCCCGTAAACGGACCTGGTGTTGTTGTGGTAGATTCGCTTGGTTTTTTCTGTCTGTAGGCGAGGTTGCTGAAGATGTGTATATGCTGGTCTTCATTTGTTTCGTCAACAATTTTGACATCGTGCTTCCATCCGTCTGAGTTCTCCGTTGTGTTTGGCAGGGAAAATGGCACGGGTATATGTTGGTAACCTGGATTCTCGTGTTACGGAACGAGATCTCGAGGACGAGTTTCGCGCGTTTGGAATTATAAGAAGGTTGGGCTTTTTCTTTAAGAAGTTCAATCATCTCCCTGTACTTATGCACTTATATGGGATGCGTTACTTTTTAGACATAGAGTATTCTGTTTGGTTGTTATCCCAATTACTTAAAAAGTACTGATGCAGCTCATCTAGTGTTGACTCTCTTCTGTCAGGAGCGCATGGCAGTAAAGAGATGCAATTTTCTGTATGACCCATGGGTTGCTTCAACTTGATATATAAGATTGCATGTCAAAGTTGCAGTGTGTTTTTGCCTCATCAATTAAAATACCAGAACAATTACCAATATACAAACACAATCCTCTGCAATCTGAATCACCTGGCTTAATATTATTTGGAATGACAGGATTGTTAAGGTTGGCCTTTTTTCTTTTACCTTTTTTCTTTTCTTTTTATTTCTTTTGGGGAGGGGGGTGGGTGAGGTGGGGGGACTAAAGCAAAAATCCTTTTTCCCTTTTAAATCAAGAAAAAAAATCTTATGATAGACTGTTGCTTGAAGAACTTATCATCTTTATTCCAATTGCAGTTTATGCTTGTTTCTCCTGCTGGTACTGATACTCAGTTTGGTTCTTTTATGACATATGCAGTGTATGGGTTGCCCGAAGACCGCCAGGATATGCTTTTATTGATTTTGATGACCATAGGGATGCACAAGATGCGATCCGTGAGCTAGATGGTATGTCTAAAGCTCTGCACATTGGTACATCCAGTCCAAATTAGAGATTGCTAATTCAGCCTTTGTTTATCGCAAATGATTTTTCCTGTCGATGTTGATAATGTTGTTTTTATTCTCCTTGTGTAAGTAATGTCATTATTTACAAAGAAGCTGTTTGTGTATGTTCTCATGTGATTTATCCTTTAATATTAGATGATGCCCCTTAGATTTGACATCTAGTTCTCTTGATTGATTTCGGAATCTGCTCTTCTGGGTCGAGTTGGTTGTGCTGTTTAATATGGTTAGAAGAAATTTTTTCATGATAACCTTGAAGATCCTTCAGCTTGCCATTCTTTCTTCCTTAACGCGTGCTACAAATTTTTTTCTTTATTTGCGGTCTCCTTATCACTTATTTTCTGCATCATTTGGAAGCTGGATGGTTTTTGTTTAGTTGGAAAGCTGGTAGGTTTTCTGAAGATGGATAGAGAGGTATAGGATTTGATGATTCTGAATGGCAAACTGCATTTCATTTGATCAAATAGGTAAAAATGGCTGGAGGGTTGAGCTCTCTCATAACTCTAGTGGTGGTGGACGTGGTGGTGGACGTGGTGGTCGATCTGGCGGTTCCGATTTGAAGTGCTATGAATGTGGCGAGCCTGGGCACTTTGCTCGGGAGTGCCGCCTGCGTGTGGGTTCACGAAGACGTCGAAGTCGAAGTCGCAGTCGCAGTCGCAGTCCAAGATACCGCAGGAGCCCAAGTTATGGTCGAAGGTTTGTTTATCGTAAAGCATATTGCAGTTATCTACGAGCTATTTTTTAGCTATTGTAATATATTTTTATGAAAATTTTGGTGCTGATCATTAATACACATTGTTTGGTGTTACTTTTATAAAATTCTGTGTTTTTCATATGATGCGACGACAGATGTGGTTAACTATTTTCTGTAAGAAGTTGACTTTACTTGAGTGTTTCAATGCTTCGCTATGCTTTTTCATAGGAGCTATAGCCCACGCGGTCGATCTCCAAGACGTCGCAGCGTGTCTCCTCGGGGTCGCAGCGTGTCTCCTCGTGGTCGCAGCGTGTCTCCTCGTGGTCGCAGCTATAGCAAGTCACCCCCGTACCGTGCCCGTGAGGAAGTGCCATATGCTAATGGGTGAGGTCTTATGCTCCTTTCTTTTATCTCCCTTTCATGTGCATGTGTGAAATATGTCGCAAGCATGTTCAATTTAATGTGCTTATATTTGCCTTTAATATGAGTGTTGTTTTGTTCAATGATGTATCAGTAATGTCTTCTCTTGTATCCTTCTACGGCATTTTGTTGACTTTAGTCCAGAATATCAGTCAGTTATAGATAGAGTCCTCAAATCTTTGCACAATGTATTCTGTCTTAGTGCTGTGACTTTCATGTCTGCTCTCACTGCATGTCTCTTAATTTGAGCTTGGCCACATACATAGTGCTACATATGCTACCTGTTTGGTCATGTTGATTTGATCCATAGGTAAGATGCAGTATTCATCTCAGATATTTTTGTTTGAACGACTAAAGCTCTAGTCTTGAAAAAGTTCTAATGTGACTTACTAATGACTAAAACTTTTGATGGATTCTAATTTTATCTCTGTTGAAACGTCAACAGCAATGGTCGTGATCGTCGCCGAAGCAGGAGCTGAATGGTGCAAGCTAAAAAATGTGGTTTTGTCTGGATCATATCTGGATTAAGTGTGTTTAGTAGTTTGGACTTGGTACAACTTTGTTTTAGTCGGGCCTCGCCCTCAGCCTCACCTCTTCGATTTGGATAAGTTCTCATTACTGAGTATGTTATCCTGTCTTTTACTTTGTCAGAATTATTGTGGTTATGTTACAGGTAAAGGATCTTAAGATATCTGCTGGTAGATAGTTCTTAGTTATCTTCTCTGGGTATTGCTAAATCTCCATGCCTTTTGCTTTGTGTCGAGGTATCTTCTGGGTTTGCTTCATTGGTTTTATGCTCCTGCACTTCCACGGGATTTCGATCTTCGCTGCGCTTTGTGCTTCTGCACTTCAGCGGGATTTGATTCTTCGCTGCCTCGCCATGGGATCTTCAATTTTTGAATGATTGTGGGTCCCGGCCGGCTTCGTCTATAGATGCGTCCCTTTTGTCTTTCTCCAGATCGATTCATGCTTCTCAAATTCTATTGGCACTTAATATAGTTAACTAGAAGGTTTGAGGAGCTGCATCAAACTCTTCTATCAGGTAATTATATTTGTTTTACCAGAGCATGGAATAGTGGTTTTATTTTTCAGGTAATGGGGTATCACTTCATATTGAAATTAAGGCAATTAAATGTTTTCCTTAGCTGTCAGAATTGGAGCATGATCTTTTCTACATATTTTTTTGGTTTCGACACAGCTGTCTTTGATTCTAATTTTATAATGTTTCTTTAACTAAATTGTGATTTTCTTCCAAAATTGAACACTCGCTGCTTTGTCAACCACGAGACCTGAGGGCCCGACTACAGAATGATCTCCACTTCGTCGATTGGCTTCCTAATTGATTGAGATTCGTCTACGTGATAGTCATTTCAATTTCTTCGGCGTCGTCTTCGTACAAAGCATACGTTTGATGCCTATGCTGCTGAGAGCTGCTATCTGTGTCGCCATATTCTCTTTAGACAAGTTATCTTAACAAGCTCTGCCTCGTCAAGCTTAGATGGACTATCTACTTTGGGTTCCTTCAAAGCATAATCATTGATATGGGCCTCACATCGGGTTGAGTCGCTGTATATTCGTCCTAGGAAAGTTTGAACCGACTTCTTTCTCCTTGGTGGTGAAAGCATACTTCAAGAGTTTGACTGCAGGGATTTATGTCATTATCGAGTGGCACTCTTTTCAGTGTAATCTTTCTGAATGGCTTGACCCGGTACTTATGTGTAGCTGGAATTTTCACCTCTATACTTGCTTAATTGATCTCTGGTCTGCCATCTGTTTCCTTTTTCTTTCTTTGCTGTCGTATTTGGAGAAGTAATTGTTACTCATCCTAGGGACCGACATGCTTGCCAGTTTGAAAGATTGCCTTAAGTAAAGTGACAGGATTGAAGCCGTCATAGTGGAAGTGCACCTGTCCTTGTGACCGGCTTTTGAGCATATGCATGGATTAAAAGTTTAGATATGAGATTTCAAGGATCATTTTTTCGTAGATTTATCTATTATAGTCATCTTGATCGGCAATCATTGCTGAACCATCGCTTCTATGGCTAGATAATCGTTCCCAGTGAGCAGTTTGCTTATTTGAAGAAGTTGAAGGAGTTTATCTTGTAATTAGCTGTGTTCCTGTCTTTGAACCAATGTCTCATGGAAGCATCTGCTATCTCTCTGTTAAGAGCATGAAGGATAGCTATGTCAAAAGTTTTCTTGACTTGTTGGACCTCAGTATTTGGCATTTGCCTTGACTTGATTTTAAGGGTGCGTTTGATAACCATTTTGTTCCCGGAAACAATTTCTACTCAAATGATTTTTTTTTATTCTGTTCTCGGAAATAATTTCTAGACATTTGAAGGTATTTGGTAACGGCTCAAAATTTTTATTCTTGGAATAGAAAAAGAATAGAAATGCGTTTGGTAACTGCACAAAATTTTTTTTTATCAATAATAATTTTAAATATTTTAATATTTTTTTCTTTTTTTTTATTTTTGTTTTTCTTCTCCTTTTTGGCCATGGCCGGCGACTGGTCGACAAGGGCGTCGCGGCCCTCGCTGCCGAGGGCGAGGGCTGGACCCTCTCGGCCTGGGTGAGGTCACCCTCGTCGCCCATTTCCAGCCTTCGCCCGAGCTGGCGAGGGTCGCCCAGGGTAGGGCTGGCGAGGGCGTCGCAGCCCTTGCCGGCCACAAGCGAGGGCTGGACCCTTGCGGCCTGGGCGAGGGCTACGAGCCTCGAGGGTGGCCCTCACTGGCTCAGGCGAGGGCTAGAAATAGCCAACGAGGGCCGCCCTCGCTCGATCCGATGAGGATGACCCTCGCCTAGGCTGCGAGGGCCGCGACGCCCTCGCTGCCCTGGCTTGTGGCAGGTCGCCGGCGACCCTGCCATGGCCAAGAAGAACAGGAAAGAAGAATAGGAAAGAAGAAAAAGAAAAAAAAATCTTTTCTATTTCTCATTCTTGTTCTCAGAATTTGCTTCTTGATTTTGTTTCAAAACTAATTCTGGAAACAAATTTGTGTAAATTTGTGCTCAGGAATAAAAAATTTACCGAACGGATTTTTGTTCTAAAAGTGATTCTGGAAATAAAAAAATATAATTAGTTATTATTTGGCAGTTACCAAACGCACCCTAAGTGTTGTGAAGTGCCTGCTGGTTGACATTTTATGATAATAATTGTGTTAATTGGCCTTAGGAGATGCAAATATATACGAAAGGAGTCCGAGAGTTATGTCATGTCCATTTTCTGATCGTCGTACTTGGCTGTCAAGTTTCCAGTAAGTTTTGGTGGTCGTGTCGTTTATCGCGGTTTTGACCATTTCAGTACTCTTTCCAGTTCAATTCATTTTTGGGTTCTTTTTTGGCCATCTTGATTTGGCAATGTCCACTCAGTTTTCTTATGAGCTAATCCAAAGTGCATTGAGCTATTTAGGAGGGAGCAAGTAGAAACATCTGAGCTAAAGTGGATAATTCCGGAACTCTGTGAATCATTGAACTTTGATTTCTAATGCTTTCCCGTGCATTCATCGACATTGAGCTGTTTGCCCATTTCTTCTTCACTTTGCTTGAGATGGCTTGCTTCTTGGCTGAATCTAGATCTTGCCATTCATGCATTTTGACATTTTTTGAAATTCAAAATCTCCGAGACTTTCGCAGCATTTAAGGCCGTCTGTTTCACGGAAAATAAATTATTTGGAAAATATTTTTTGAAAAATGATTGCTCGCATTGCTTGAAATAATCAGTCAATGAAAAATGTTTTCGTTATCGAAAGTAATTTATGTCTAAAATTTTTTGTAAATAATGAAAATATTTTTTGTTGGTTTTTTTTTTTGTAAGTGATACAAACGATTGTTTTTAGGAAAATGTTTTGTAAATCATTCATTTTTCGCGAAACAAATGGAATCTAAATGTCATTACATAATTCCATGTGTATATTTATTTTAATCAATCTATAAACAAACAGGCTTCTAGCAATCTGATCGAACATTTTGATCGACTCTAACGGTCCATTTTTGTTTAGATGCGCGAATTGCATGCAAGATTTTTTGTTATGCCTAGGGCTATGTGGAATCTGAAATCTGAAGTTGCAGAGTGGCTTGACTGCGGTGGTGCTCTATGCAAGAGCCAGCTCCAAGCATCCTTCCCACGGGGAAAATGACTTTTGACTTTCCAAATAAAGCATTTCCTAATCGATTTGATTTGCGACCTCAACGATTCACGAATGACCCCCCCAATTAGAGAAAAGAGATCATCTCTTACCCCTCTAAGAAGTGCTCCATTCTCGCAAAGGACATTCCCACTGTTGCTGTTTTGAGTCGACACAGTCTATTTCTACTTTTTCAGCCATGAAAATAACCCAACTGAACTTGGAGCTCATGAGCTCCTCGCGGCGTATTTCCATCTTTGGAGTCGACTCGATACGGTTTCTGGTGTATTTGAGCTCTACTCGGTTCAGTTTGATGAGATAACAACTCGAACCGCAGATAAGTTCCGAAGCTTGACCCTAAACGTGAGCTCTCACGGAATGAATATAATTATAAACGCCTTCATGATCATGTTTATTGTGGCTATCGATGGGGTGAAACATAGATTTAGTAGATTGGTCAGGGCTAGGATTTTCGAGGTGCTCAATTTTACTGGGGTCGAGCTCGGAAGCTCAAGGTTTGATGCCGCTCGATTCTTTGGACTGCTTGGACACCATTAAATCTTAATGAGAATCGGGGTCGAGTTTGGTATTCTAATCAATAGAGTTCAAATAGTTTGTGAACCGCTCTACTTGTTTCGATTACCCAAAGCTGAGCGTAGACCCGTCAAACGGGTGGGTCGATTAGGGTAAAAAATGGTCCATCTCAAATAAACTCTTTTAATCCATATTGACCCATATCCATGCACTGCAAATTTAGTGACCCATACTTAACCCGACCCATATCTGACCCTAGGGGTGTCAAAAGAACCCGCTCAAACATGACCCGACCCGACCCGATCCGAACCAAACACGAAATTTTCTTATTGGGTCGGGTTGGATCTCAACTTGTTTGGGTAACAATAAAAAAATTTGGGTATTGTTTGGATCTATTGGGCTTGGGTACCCAAACCCAACCCAAACAATAACCCAAACAACGAAACCTAAGACCTTTCTTCCACTTTTCTCTCTCACTCTCTCGCCTCTTCTGCCTTTTTTGTCCTCCATCCAGTTCGAGTCTGACAGCAACCGCACCAAGGCCGTCGGCATGACCGGCCCCAGCGGCACCGCGGTGCAGGGGAAAGGCCGCACCGGCGGGGGGAACAAGGGTGGGGGTTACGGTGGCAGGGGAAGGGGGCGGGGCTATGGTGGTAGGTCCTCGTCGTCGGAGGAGGAGCTGAGGAACGACACCCAGAAGCAGCAGCCCCGCTTGGCGAAGGCAGCATCCGCGGCGTTGGCGCTGGGCTCGCGGTCCCTCTGAGGGGAGACCTCGAGGGAATGCTGGGCGGACATGAGATCCCAGGATCGCCGAATATCGGGGGAATGGATCAGGGGCTCCTTGGATGGCGGGATCTGCAGAGCTACGGCGGCGGACGGGAGAGAGTTCCGATCTTCTTCCTCCTCCTCCTTCTTCCTCCACCACCGTCGCAATGTAACGCAGGAAGGAGGAGGCTCGCGAGGCATGGATTCACAAGCACGTCGCTGCCGCCGCCGCCGCCGCCGCCGCCGCCGCCGCCTGCGCTGTGATTGGTGGGAGGAGGACTGGGAGGCCGGGCATGGCGAACCGCCTTGAACAACATCGCGAGAGGCGAGGCGCGGAGGGGGGGAGGGAGAGAGATGGTCTTCTGGCGATGGTGGTGGAGGAAGGGGGAGGAGGAGGAGGAGGAGGATGATGGGACTCCGTGATGCAAGAAGACGAGCGCGTGGGAAAAGTTGAAGAGACTTGACTAAAGTAGAATCTAGGGTTCATTGTTTGAAACACGGCCCGACCCGACCTGACCCGACCCGATCGTGCGGTGATATCTTGTTCGGGTTTTGTTTCGGGTCGGGTCGAACACACATGTCCAATATTTCGGGTCGGGCCGAGTATCATGAAAACCCGACCCGACCCGATCCATTGACACCCCTATCTGACCCGATCCATATTGTTAAATTCTTTCATATTTAACTAAATCTAGAAAAACTCGTACCCAAATTAAGGTGAGAGTGTGGATGAGATCGAGTGAGGGCAAGAGAATGAAGAAAGAATTATAGAGGTGGGTTGGGTTTAAATAAGTTGTGAACCCATTTAGCAATCGTATTATTTTTGCGCTTCATCATTCTAAACTCATTTATTAAATATAATTAACCCATATAACAATCCAGCCCATCAAATATAGGTTTTGACAAGTCTAGCTGAGCCTATAAGTGGATGTTTTCCACACCATTTAATTATTAAAATTTTCATAGAAAACAATTTTGTGAAATTCATAAATTTGAGGCATAGCCAATTACAGTTTCCTCTCAATTTTTGAGAGGAAAAGAACTTGCAATCAAGGGTTACTCGAGCTTTGCTGGTGACACCAAATTTGTGCCCCCACTATGTAGATGTTGGAGTTGTTCCGTAGCGCAATGAAAATGCTCTTTCGGTCAAAACGATCATGGAGTGCAAACAATCTCCACTAGATTTGATGGCCGGCACGACGGATTGAAGCAGGAACCACCAGAGTCTAATCTTTCAATCATGGCATGGAATTTGTTTTCTCTGCCAAGTGGCTCGATGTCGACCCGAGTCTATCGGGGCGAGAGTATCCACGAGGCGACACTTGTACCATATGGCATTCGCCGCGATCTCGCGCACCCAATTGAGGGGGTCTAGTCACATGATTTTCTGACTATAAATTGAGTATGAAGACAACTCGATTGGATGAGGGACGTGAATTTTAACGTGTTTCGTGCAATAAAAAGTTGTCTAATATGCTTTTGCCTTTGCTTGCTCGCTGTTGCTTTGCTTGGTTGTTGTTTCTTCTTACTATGAATCAGTTTTGACTTCTTTGACTGAAGGAGATTTCTCCAAATCAAATCATTCACCACTTTCCAAGGTGCTTGGCTTTTAGTCATGCGGAGAATGTTTGGTTCATGACTCGAAATATGTGTTCGATTTTATCATAATCCTTTTCCTTTTCGAAAAAAAAAAAGAATTGGAAAAAAAACCATTTTCATTTTTCTAAAAACAATGAGAAACCTTCAAATGATTATGAGTAATAGGCTCCAATTTTTCTCGCAGCAAACGAATGATTTGATTTTTTTTTTTCTGAAAATGATTATTTATATCACTTGAAATAATTAGTTGATAGAAACATCATTTTCACTGATAGTAAAAAGTATTCTTTGGCTTCGTTCGTTTGGTGGAAAATATGACGTTTCTAGAAAATGTTTTCTAGAAAGTTATTTTCTAGGAAAATGACCATATTTTCCGGTGTTTGGCTCATACCCGGAAAATATTTTCCGCCGTTTGGTATGGAAAATCTTATTTGATTTTATTCCTTGCACTTATTTTAATAATATTTTATTTTATTTTTTTTTAAAATTCAAAATTTTAATTTTTAAATATTTTATATTTCTTTTCTTTTCTCTTTTTTTTTTCTTTTCTTCTTTTCCTGCCGGTCACCGGCCACCATGACTGCCAGCGACCAGCCACAGGTGAGGCTCGACCTTGCTCACCCAAGGCCGGCGACCTCGAACGAGGCCGAGCCTCACCTCGCCGACCTTGGGCGAGGCCAGCGCCTTGCCAGATCTAGCGAGGCAAGGCTTGGCCTCGCTTGCCCAAGGCCAGAAAGCTCTGGCGTGGCCTAGCCTTGCCTTGCCGACGTCGATCAAGGCCTCGCTTGAGCTCGCCGGCCTCGGGCGAGTGAGGTGTTGGCCTCGGGCGAGCGAGGTGCTGGCCTCGGGCGAGGCTAGATCTGGCGAGGCTCAGCCTACCTCGAGCTTTGCCGGCCTTGAGCGAGGTTCACAATTTTCCTTGGTTAGTTTATTTCCGTGAAACGAACACCGGGAAATCTGAAAAATGTTTTCTTGAAAGTTATTTTCCATGAAACGAGCGGAGCCTTCGTTCATTACCTTTTTGTAAGTAATACATGTGATAAATTTTTGGAAAATATTTTTCAAATCATTCATTTTCTGCGAAACAAAATGAATAATTTGAAAAGTATTTTCTTAAAGTGATAGCTTGTATCGCTCACAAAATTGAACAAGCGAAAAAGATTAATTATTATCGATAATAAAAATATTTTTTTAACTAATTATTTAAGCGATATAAATAATTATTTTTAAGTTTTCGCAAAATAAATGAAGCTTTAGTATGGGGTCAAGAACTAGCGTTCAGCACCTTTTGGCCTCTTTTCGCCTCATATCACAAACGGGGCAACTTTCCTCATCACCCCCAGAATGATGTGGGGTCTATGCCCTATAACTTGTATAGCTCGCAACAAGAAAATTAAAAAAATTTGCCTCTAAAGTTAACCTTTAAGTAATACTATTACAGAAATATGTTCATTAAAAACTCAACAAACAATTAGTATAAGTGCAATATCAACAAGATTTGGAAAACAAATTAATGCCATAGAAGTAAATTAATGGTATTAGTAGAAGATGGAAGTTTTGGGTGCCATACCGAGTATACTTGTGCGTGAGATTATATAAGATTCCACAATAGATAATATGAATGTATTTTTTGTTACGACCCTACTAGATCCACATAGATCAAGCCTTTAAGAAGAATATCCAACGTGATCAGTTAAGGTAAGGTGACGAATTTTAAAATTATGTGAGTAGAAATTGGGAAGAAAATTTAAATTTTTTGGCCTTTTTCTTCGTTCTCGTCTAGCAATTTCCTCTTCCTTCCAAACATAGCATTAGTGCAAGGTCAAGATTGTGGTTGGAGTAGGTATTTCTGGTCTCACACCTGTGGTGCTAATGGAGAATTTTTGTGCTTACCTAATTCATGTGAGCTCAATAAATGTACGTCGAGTGCATACAAGCATTGCACGTATGAATGTGACTATAGTCGCGGATAGTATTGCACATGATAAATTTGCGGTATCGCGGTCTCATGGTCTCCTTATTGCAATGACTCAAATCTAACATCATTAAATGAACAAAAAGAAAAGTCATACATGGTCAGTGTAAAGAAAATCGTACATAATCGACCTTATCAATCCCTCACTTGAGGATTATAGCTATCCAATTTTGGATCAATAGTGTATAAGACCGCTTGTGTAAATTTTTCATTAATTATATCGAAGGAGCATGCCATTTTAAAAGAAAAAAAGTAAGAGCAATTATGGATGAGCATCAGGTCCGGTTCTACCGGACTGGTTCAGTCTGGTTCTAGGGAGAACCGATTGGTTCTCGGTCTGATTCCCAGTTCCAAGGCCGGAATCTAACTAGGAACGAGGAATTGGGGTCCTAACGTTCATCGATTTAAAATTGCATCAGACGCGGTTAATATGTCTGTATTGCACGTGGTAAATATGATAAAAAAGACTAATCACGTAGTAAATGGATGTTGGATTATGCTAAGAAATTCATTTTTGTGGTAAAACATTTATTTACGATAAATATGTACAAACATGTTATAAACACACATACGGAGAATCAAACAACGGTCTTCAACATGAAGAAATAACAATATAACTACTTGACCAACATGTGTTTTTATAGCGAATGGTGCAACGCTAATATTTTGTTGTAAAAAATTAGTTTTTTTTTAACAAAACAAAAGTTGGACCGGCTCCCGGGTAGTGTCGGGAACCGGGATCGGTTCCCAGTTCCAGCAGTCACGGGATCGGTTCCCAGACCGGGAGCGGATCACCCCTAATAGCAACATCACCGGATGGTATTTGTTTGGCCACAAAGACCCCTTTGAAAAACAAAGCACCCCCGTGAAATCTGCTGCTAAGTCTGAAAGTCGTAGTTGTTTTTCCGAGTTAATGCTCCTCGAATCTCAAGATCATATCGATTTATTAATGCAGAATCATGGCACTCACGTCGATCCATGTTTCGCTCTCTCAAACGAGGAATCATATAATATTGGACGGTCTGAGCTGTGCTTTCCATTGTTTTTTCTTTTCACTGCAGTTTCTGTTTCTGTTGTTCATGCACTTTCATGAATTGTTTGCGACTTTTTCAGCATCCGACTAATCCTCGTTGTCCGGGTTTTCTATGATCTCGCGTTCCCCGTGCGCACGGATCGATAAGCAGAGGAGCCCACCTGAGGGCAGCCTCGAGGGGTCGTGCAAGCGTGGTGATCCGCACTCGAGTTTTCCAAGCGGCCAAGACGAAATCGCTTATCGCCCGACTGTGCGCAATTTATTGTAAATTTGCAAGTCAAAACTTAGGACAGGTGCAACCGTTTCTCGTACCCCCGGTTTCTCTTTCCTCTCTCGTTCCCTCCACTCAATTCATGTGTCTCTATCATTATTAACTCTGATAGTTGCGGTTATTGTTCTTCTGGGTCTCTCTTCAAGCCCGTATTTCTTTAATCATTCTGAAGCAAATCCCAGTTCAAGTCTCCTCTCAGAAAACAAGTTCATTGGCTTAACGAAATCTCATTTTGGGTTCTTCTGTCTGTTTCCTCTTTACGAGTTTTTGCCTTTCCTGGGAATGCAGTAAGTTTCAGAGCGTGGTAGTGACCAGAAACACAACATGGACTTGAAGAAGAAAGAGAAGGTTGTAAGGTACTTAATAAGATTTGCATTTCCAGTGTCAATTTGTATCAGAGACTGGTTTGATTCTGGTGCAGTGGAAATTTTTTTTCCTGAATTTGTCATGATGTCCTGATTCTCTCACTCACAGATTTTATAATGATGGAAAGCAAAATCTTGGCGTTTCCTGGGAAAAGAACGATCCCACACGCCTAGAAAAGCCGTTGCCTTTGTATAGTAAGATACCGGCAGCATCAACTCTGCTGAGACCCGATGTTGATCCTGCTGATAGGATTAAAGCCATTTTCGAAGTCCCAAAATTCGGGAGGTTCAAGGTTTTCCCCGAGAACCAGGAGCCCTGGAAGAGGCGGATTCTCGACCCGGGGAGCGAAATCGTCTTGAAGTGGAACAGGATTTTCCTCTTCTCCTGCCTGGTGGCGCTGTTTGTTGACCCCTTGTTCTTTTACCTTCCGTCGGTGGTGAACGGCAACAGCACGTCGTGCCTGACCACCGATTTGAGCCTGGGGATCATAGTGACGTTTTTCCGGACACTGGCTGACGCATTTTACGTGCTCCACGTGGTCGTGAAGTTCCGGACAGCTTATGTTGCTCCGAGCTCGAGAGTGTTTGGGAGGGGCGAGCTCGTTATGGATCCGAAGAAAATTTCCAGGAGGTATTTGAGATCGGAGTTCTGGGTCGATTTGTTCTCGGCATTGCCTCTTCCGCAGGTACCATCTTGGATCACTTTTTCACTGGCTGGCTATCTCTAACTTGAAACCGTTGCTGTATAGTTTCAAGCAAAATACTCGACCTTAACGTGTCGCCGATGTTTTGGCTAATCACTTCAGTACTAATCTGATTCAGTTTAACTGCAAGCTAAGGCAATATTTATTTGCTGACTTTGTTATTCATTTTCTTCTTAGATATAACGAAAGAAGGAACTAAGATCATCATGATAAGTTGGTTCGTTTAACATTAGAAATTCGGCTATGGATCATTTCAGTCTTAATAGAACGTATATAATAGAAGTTTTTGCCTAAGATAAAGATAAGAAAGAAAGGGCATGGAAAGGCCGCTTTTCAGTCAGTAAAGAGGTTTTCCAATTAAATTCAGTGATCAGTCATAAGATAGAATGTGAATTTGTCTCCTAAATCATGCTTGATTGTGCATATAGTTCTTCACTTCTCTATGTCCATCACGTAAGAACTCTGTTGTTTCACTGTGAATTGAACAAACTAACTTGATGCTTTTTCCTTTTGGGTCAGATTGTGATCTGGTTCATCATACCTGCAATAAAAAGTTCCCACTCGGATCACACCACCAACACTCTTGTACTGATCGTTCTGCTCCAGTACGTCCCGAGACTATATCTGATCTTCCCATTGAGTTCTCAGCTGATCAAAGCCACCGGCGTAGTCACAAAAACTGCTTGGGCTGGAGCGGCCTACAATCTCGTACTGTACATGTTAGCCAGTCATGTATGTAGCTGCTTGTACATATCGTGTTCCGCAACTTCATGTTATCAAGGGTCTTATGAGTTGTGCTGCAATGATTCTGACCCTTCTTGTAGGTCCTGGGTGCATCATGGTATCTGTTGTCGATCGAGCGACACGCAACATGCTTGAAATCCGAATGCGACCAGGAACTTACTCCCGTGAAGTGCGTCCTTCATTACCTGGATTGTGATACTCTTGATGAAGGCCAGCGCATCATATGGGGCAACATTACGGGCGTCTTTAGCAATTGCGACCCGAATGGGAATATCACGTTCCAATATGGCATATTCGCGAAAGCTTTCACAGAGAATGTTGTGTCCTCAGTATTTCTCGAGAAGTATCTGTACTGTCTGTGGTGGGGATTGCAAAACTTAAGGTATGATATCGTTAACAAACCCTATTGCATTGCAGGTATCTAGGGTCTAGACCATTAAAACTCACGGCGCTGCCCTCTGGATTCTGTCATACATTCATCATCTGATTAAGAAATTCTAGATCCGAGTTTCTATGCATTTATTTGATGATTAGATGAATGATGATGCAAATCTTAACTTTTCCTCCGGTGTAATTATGCAGTTCGTATGGCCAAAATTTAAGTACAAGCTTGTTCATCGGGGAGACCTCATTTGCCATACTCATCGCGATTCTCGGTCTCGTTCTGTTTGCCCATTTGATTGGAAACATGCAGGTAGTCAGAATGGCTTGATACTCTGAATTTAATCTTCTCATTTTATCGTTCATATAGTAATCAAATAAGATGCAAAAACCAAAAGAACAACGGAAGAAGAAATTATTGTGCTGTCTGTGCCACTTTCTTTCCTGGAATTCTATGAATTTCAAAGCCAAATTTCATACTTTCTATCGAAGTGTAACTGAGGAACTTCAACTTTGATATGCCAATGTCATATCATAGACGTATCTGCAATCTCTCACTGTGAGGCTTGAGGAGTGGAGGCTCAAACGTCGGGACACGGAGGAGTGGATGAGACACCGTCAACTCCCCCAAGATCTACGAGAACGTGTCCGGCGCTTTGTGCAGTACAAGTGGCTAGCGACTCGCGGTGTCGATGAGGAATCGATTTTGCACGGTTTGCCGGTGGATCTCCGTAGAGATATCCAGCGCCACCTATGCTTGGACCTCGTTCGGCGAGTAAGTTCTCATTAGTTCTAATTGACTTCGATGTGAACATGATGGTTTTTCCAATGTTGCCAGCTTCTACAAGATTAGAGATCATTGTAGTTGCTTCTCCAAGAAAATCACAAAGCTAAAAGTCACATGGTTCCAAATGACTGTTCCATAAATCTTACTATCTTACAAGCAGTAGCCTAATCAGTATTTCGTTGTTACAGGTCCCGTTTTTCTCGCAAATGGATGATCAGCTGCTTGATGCCATTTGCGAGCGCCTCGTGTCCTCGCTGTGCACGCAAGGCACGTACATAGTCTGCGAAGGCGACCCGGTCACCGAGATGCTCTTCATCATCAGGGGCAGGCTAGATAGCTCAACGACCAACGGAGGGCGGACGGGTTTCTTCAATTCGATCACCCTGAGGCCCGGCGACTTTTGCGGGGAGGAGCTACTTACGTGGGCGTTGCTCCCGAAGTCATCTCTCAACCTGCCATCTTCCACGAGAACCGTGAGAGCCCTGGACGAAGTGGAGGCGTTCGCTCTGCGGGCGGAGGATCTCAAGTTTGTCGCGAACCAGTTCAGGCGCCTCCACAGCAAGAAGCTGCAGCACACGTTCCGCTTCTACTCTCACCACTGGAGGACGTGGGGCGCATGCTTCATTCAGGCGGCGTGGCGCAGATACAAGAAGAGAAGGCTGGCGAAGACTCTCAGCATGAGGGAGTCCTTCTCGTGGGCTTTTGAGGAGCACGAGACGCTGGAAGATGAAACGGAAGAGCACGGGGAGGAAGAGGGGGACCGGAGTATCGCATCCTCAGCTTCTTCCCAAGCGAGGCAACATCTGGGGGTCACAATATTGGCTTCGAGATTCGCAGCTAACACGAGGAGAGGAGCTCAGAAGGCAAAACACGTCCAATTGCCCAAGCTGCTAAAGCCCGAAGAGCCGGACTTCTCAGCAGAGCCTGACGATGAGTGACAAACTCCGACTTGTATAAACAGAACTCGAAAGCGTCATTCACATGTAAGTGATACATTAACTAGGAGAGAGCATTGAAACTAGTTAAAATCAATCAACTTAGTCCTGAAACGGTTGCTCATGTCCATGATTCTCTGTCCATAATCTCGTCAAAAGGGTGAGCTGCCGGATGCATAATTAAGGAGACACATTCCACTATTCCAGTGCCCTGTTAACTATGCAGCAGGACCTGATTGTGATCAAACTTCATCATGGTTGAACAGGCAACACCAAAGCGCTGAAATTGGTGGGAGCGAAGGTGTTCATTGTCGGGTTCACTACATGGGGTCGTCTCTTCCTGCTTGATACTAAGAGTCCTATTCAATCACACATTTGACATTTCAATATAGTTTTGAGATGCTGTCATGTAGATGAGCTTGTCTGGATCATGTAAAGCTGGAGTTGCAGATTAGCTATACTTTCTTTGCTCGTGGCTCTGTCATTGCTTTCCTTGCTAATCTAAGAAATTCGAGCTGCTAGTGTGAGAACAGAAATTACTAAGCTGCAAAAAGCCTGAAGAGCTGGACTTCTCAGCAGAGCCCGACGATGAGTGACAAACACCGACTTGTATAAACTGAACTCGAAAGCGTCATTCACATGTAAGTGATACATTAACTAGGAGAGACTATTGAAACTAGTTAAAATCAATCAACTTAGTCCTGAAACGGTTGCTCATGTCCATGATTCTCTGTCCATAATCTCCTCAAAAGGGTGAGCTGCCTGATACATCATTAAGGAGACACATTCCACTATTCCAGTGCCCTGTCAACTATGCAGCAGGACCTGATTGTGATCAAACTTCGTCATGGCCGAAGAGGCAACACCAAAGCGCCGAAATTTGGTGGGCGCGAAGGTGTACATTGTCGGGTTCATTACATGGGGTCGTCTATTCCTGCTTATTGATACTAGGAGTCCTATTGAATCACACATTTGACATTTCAATATAGTTTTGAGATGCTGTCTTGTAGAAGAGCTTGTCTGGATCATATTGTAAATTAAGAGTATGTTTTTTTTTTTTTTGGTAAGGATAAATTAAGAATATGTTTGTTTCATAGAAAATGAATGATTTGAAAAATATTTTTCTAAAACTGATCGCTTGTAACGCTTATAAAAATGAATGAAGGAAAAATATTTTCACCATGCGCGATAATATTCAAACATAAATTGTTGTCGATAATAAAAACATTTTTCGTTAACTAATTATTTCAAACGATACAAGCGATTAATTTAAAAAAAATTATTTTCCAAATCATTTATTTTCCGCGAAACAAACATAACCTAAGGTTGGTTGCTGCTTCTCTCTTGCACAGAAAATCAAAAGGGTGTTCGTAATGACATTTGTTTCAGATTTTTGTTTTGTTTTCGTTTCTTCCTTTTATTATTAATATTATTTTTTTTTTGCTTTCAGAAAAATTTCCCTACTTAGTTGAACGTAAAATAATTTTCCCTAAAAAAAGTCAACGGGCTTTCCTACGGGCTAGGCCCAAAGTAGCTTTATCGAACCGTATAATCTACGTATGGGCCGGTTCGTTTTTATTCGAGCCGGTCCTACTGGTCGGGCCAGACGTCTGGCCCGAAAAATTCGGGTCACTAAAATATTAATTTTAAAAATTCCATAATTTTTTTTTTGAATTTATTTATCCCAATTCCAACTAATTTGGTCTGGCAGGATCGAGCGAGATCATGGGGCGGTAGGGCCTGTCCTTGATGTTGGCTTGTATCGCTCAAGCGGCATTAAATCATGGGGCTGCAGTTTTAGTTGAGATTTCCTCTTTTTTTTTTTTTAGGTTAATATCACAAAAAATCTCAAATTTGTCACATGGGTACAAATGTGACAAATATACATCAAATTAATTTTTTAACCACTAAAAACCCCAAACTGATACACTTGTGATAAATTTACTCAAAACTAATTTTTTGACCATAAAAAAACTTCAAACTAGTATATTTGTGACAAATTTACTCTCCGTTAAATTGGATTAATAGCACGAAAAATCACAAACTGGTACAACTATGACAAATAGAGGGAAAAACTCCAAACTGGTACGCCCGTCAACTACCACGTATTATCTAACTTAGCAATTTGACGGTAAAATTTAACGAAAACTAATGGAGAGTAAATTTGTCACAGATATACCAGTTTGGGATTTTTTGAGATCAAAAAATTAGTTTTGGATAAATTTGTCACAAGTGTAACAGTTTGGAGTTTTCCGTGGTATTGATCCCGTTTTTTGAATACTTTTATCAAGATTAATTTACCAAATCGACATGTTAAGAGACGGATCGGGTTTTTTTCGCGCCTCGAGCACGACTAACTCTCCTACAACTCCGTTTGCAGCTACAATTGCCGCAATTTTTACAGTACTCCTTTTTTCACGAGAAAAGATGGGTTGTATTGTCCTCCGTTCCTTCGATCACACCTTCGATTGCTGGCTCACGAATTACGGACGTCATTTACGAGCAAACCTAACTTAAACTGCGTGATATCCACATTCGTAATCTGCCGATCAGAATTATGGTCGACGGACATCTTTTTCCGAACATCGACTCGAAAAAGGTCCCTCCCATGCATTGCCTGTTGGTAGGTTGTAAAGGGAGGGAGTTTCGTACGCATTATTAAGTCTTGGCTTGCTTTACTTTTCACGAGCATCGCGACGGGGGAAGAGTTCATTAAAAGCTAGGACATGGACATGAGGTTCTTGGCCCATCTCCAAACCTTATAAGATGGATTGATATCAATGGAAATGAAGTAGATTGAAAAGGCAGATGGTTATTCTCAAGCAGACAAGGACCCCTTTGATAATTATGATGATTCACTTAGCGATTTGCGAGGTTCGGCTTCCCGCGTCATCGAGTCCATACAATGCCAAAGCTTATCCGCGCTCTGGCTCTCTCGCATGATACTACTTTTCTATAGGTCTAGGGTACCTAGTCAGGGTCCCAGGTGGCCATCGCCTTGGTCGGGCGATGTCTCGTTATTAATAAGAAGAAAAAAACGATCTATCAAAAGTTATTAGAAAGAGCAGGTTATAGACTATTCTGATTGATTTATACAGGGCACCTCAATTCTTTCTCGTTTTCAAGTTAAACAAGTCACACGTCTTGGAGATGCCTACGTTACTAGGAATCGAAATGATCACATGCACTTCTCACCTTTATCTGAAGGAGCACTTGAGTTAGGTGTCACACATCAAAGGGACAATTGTAGTTGTGCAACGCATACTAGAAAATAAAAAGAAATCTATATCTACTTTTAAAGAAAAAAGTATTAGAAAAGTCATGAACCTATTAAATTGATGCCAATTTAATTCTAAACCTTTTCAATTCAGTCCTTTCGGCTAATGCTGGCTGAATATTGCTGACGTGGATATTTTTTAATAATATTTTAATATTTTAGAATTATTTATTTATTTATTTCCTTTATTTTTTTTTCTCTCTTTTTTTTCCTCCTCTTTCCTCCGGTGGCTGGCACGGTCATGGCCCGTGAGGGCTGGCCTCACTTGAGCGACCGACTAGAGGAAGAAGGAAGGGAAGGGAAAAAAAAGAAAGAGAAATAAAAGAAAAAAAGGAAAAAGAAAAGAAAAAAAATAAGACATTAGAAAAATATTAAAATATTATTAAAAGTTGTCCACGTCATCGCCGACCGTGCCACATTAGTTGGCTAGCATCCATATCAGTAATATCTGGCCAAAATTAGCCTGAAGGATTGAATTGGCTTTAGGTAAAATGTTTAGGACTAAATCGGCATCATTAAAAGGTTTATGACTAAATTGACACAAATGTAATAAGTTTAAAACTTTTATAACACTTTTCCCTATTTGCAAATAAAGTACCTATAGTTCTCCATTTTCAATATTTCAAAAGTGCAACCTGAAATCATTCTCGACGATTATCGATGAACTCATTTTCTCACAATTCGACACTTATAACGAGCATATCTAGTCATCTCAAATGCGGAGTTTCCAAATATGGTTGTGCTTAGCGATAGTGGCACGGATCGGTTCACTTTTCATACTCAATACTAAATGCTTTTAATCATTCACAATAAACATGTCATGCTACCACATTTAGAGTCTGTTTGTTTCGCGAAAAGTGAATAGTTTGGAGAACATTTTTATCAAAATGATCGCTTATATCATTTACAAAAATGAATGAATGCAAGCTATTTTCATCGTCTACGAAAATGTTTAGATATAAATTGTTGTCGATGATGAAAATATTTTTCATTAATTAATTATTCCCAGCGATACAAATGATCATTCTTGGGAAAATATTTTTTAAATCATTCATTTTCACGAAATAAATATAGCCTTAGCTATAAGCACAAAGGGTTATTTTACCATTTCTGCAAATCGTGATAATGGTCCCTGTTCCTTTCTTTCTCTTCACCCTACCTGCCTCTTTTGCCAAAGAGTTTACAATGCAGGCGCTAAAAAAGTACTTGAGAGACCAAGCATATCCTGAGATGAGAGCGTGAGATGCCAAGGGACATTACAGGTAGATTGCCATATCAAAGATTCTTTTTCTTCGTGACAAAATATTGATGTGATGGAGCCCATCACACAGATATCTTTTTTTCTGAGGGGGAGAGGAGGAGGGGGAAGATTTGTCCCCATCCCATCACCACCCAACCATTCACCAAAGTGGCTCCATCGACACCATCCATGAGCCTTCACCCGTCCAAAACCTTGTGTGCCCACACCGGGATTTCTCAGGCCCTCAAATCATGCAAGCCCCATAAATGGAGGAAGACACACCAAAAGCCATGAATGAATTCACAGAACCTCAAAGCCACCTCAAACACAAAAAGCTTTTTGTGCCTTGCTTTCTTCGCTCAACTCTGCTCTGCCGACACTTCCATTTAGGCTAGGCTCCAATGTGTCGCGAGCCTCGCACGTGCGCGCGTAGTATTTCCCTTTAGCACTACCAAATTGCAGAAGCAACCAAGGGGGAAAAGGAACAAGACTGAGGAGACAATGGAAAAGGACAAGGAGACCCAGAAAGGTTTTCTCCAATTGGTACACTAACTACATATCTTGTCAATATGCAAATGAGAAAACTTACTTATGTCATCACTTTTTCTGCAGGAACAGAAAAAGAAGAAGAAGAAAAGTATCTAGGAACAAAGAAAATATCAAGCAAGCTCTTCCGAACACCACCCAACTTTGTGTTATTTTTCTCCTTGTACAATATGGCTTCCAAGATGAGATGCCAAATCACAACCCTGGAAGAAATTCTCTTCCAATAGGTCTAGAAAAACAAAAAAGGCAAAAAGAGAAAAGAAAAAGAAAAAGAGTGAAATATAACATTAGTTTCTTTCCCTCCAACCTATAACGAACAACAAGAATCAGAATAACTTGAAACAATTTATTGTACACGGTAGTCAATTTAGGGAAAAAAATAAATAAAAACCTATGGAGGCTTCACACTGGAGACTGAAGGGTTCAGCTTATTTAGTCTGAACAATTGCCATTTTTGCAACTGAGTATGGAGGTGAAGAATTTCGCAGTTTGGGCTGCAGATGCTAGTATCGGCTTCTTTAGTTCTCTAGGCTGATGACTTCCGATTCTTCGTAATAGCAGGACTTGAGTTACTTTAGCTCATCTGCTCGCCAATCAGATCGAGGCCCACAAGGAGGAAAGTAATGCCCTGGAAGAGCAGGAAGTAGAAGTGGACTCCTTGGGCCGCCAAGAGACTCCTCACGGAAGCCGTGAGTAAGAGGAACGCCAAAGCGAGCTCTTTCCTGTAAATTTTGTTGGTCTTCTTAACCGGCATAAAAGTCACTTCCTTTTGCTGTTCCTTTAACTTGGTCAGTTCTTGAAGCTCGCTCTCCGAAGCTCCTCTAGTTATTTGTTGTTGGTTCGTGCTCTTTGTCTCTCTCTCGGCGGCAGCGAGCAAGTCTGGTTCTGATGACCTGCCAGCCTTTTTCGTGACGACCCATTCATAAGAGCTGCCGAGCTGGAATAGTCCAGATATCATTGCATTAAATTTGGTAACAGACATGGTGTTCTCGAACAGGAGGTAAGGGACGATGAAGGGGATGGACTTTGGAGCGGGGAAGATGTTTAGGAACGACATGAAAACGGGCACGTAACATATGACCCACATGGGGAGCTCGGCCTCAGGGACGAACATGGTTAGCGGAAGGATTATGCAGAACAAGGTGAAGGAATAGAAGGGAAGAATGAGTTTCCTAAGTAGAAAGAATAAGAGTATGAGATTCGCCTTCTTCCAAGCAGAGATCTGAGTCGAGAAAAGGTCGAAAGTTTGTAAGTATCGTCATTTTATTGAAGAAGTATAGAACACATGGAAATCAATAATGAGACGAACCTTGGAAGTTACAATTGCAGGTAGACACAAACGAAAAAGTTGCATTGGACCGGAATGCCATCTATGTTGCTGCTTCTTATAAGCTTCATACGACTCAGGAAGCTCGCAGAGTACCTGAAATTTCAACAAATGAAGATCCCAAGAATTTTAAGTTCAGAAAGAGAGAGAAACTCATGAGACTTATAAATTCATCTTTTACATAAGGGGGCCAAGAGAGTTATTTGAAGTTGTAACTTGAAATGCAAGAATGTGAAAGAAATCATCGCTAGATGAATCATGCTAAAGGGTGATATTCTGTCCAATCACGGATGCGTTGTCACCAGCAATTAATAAATGAAGAGAAATTAATCGAATTCGATACAGAGGTGAAAAAGTAATTCTGTTAATACCTTAACATCATTTAGGAAAATAAATTTCCAACCATTAAGGTGTGCACGGACTGCAATGTCCATGTCCTCTACGGTTGTCCTTTCAAGCCAGCCTCCAGATTCTTCAAGAGCTTTGATCCTCCAGACACCAGCAGTTCCATTGAAACCGAAGAAATTCAGGAACAATCCATTAACCTGCTGTTCTACCTCGAAGTGGAAACACAGGTTAATGTTTTGAAGCCTAGTCAACAGGTTCTCGTCTTTGTTCACAAAAGCCCACCTAGCCTGAACCAATCCCAGTTCAGGATTATCCTGCGAGTAAATGCATAAGAAGAATGCGATGTCAAAATTTTCAAGCAAGTTTAACAGCGAGAAAAAGAAAAAAAGCAGAAAAATGGTACATGCTATCAACCTTAAAATGTGGAACAGTCTGTTTTAGGAAATCTGGATTTGGCTGGAAATCTGCATCAAAGATCGTGACAAACTCGTAACCGTTCACATAGTCACAGCTCATTGCAGATTTGAGATTTCCAGCTTTGTAACCAGTTCTAACCAAACGATGTCGATAAATTATGTTGACGCCCCGCTGGCTCCATTTGGCGACTTCTGCCTTAATTAAGCACTGTATACTCTCGTTATCGGAATCATCGAGAACTTGGATAAGTAGACGGTCCTTTGGCCAATCAATTCGGCAGACAGCAGAGATGGATTGCTCATATACCTATATGAATTAGAAGAAAAAATCACTGTCACCAAAGGAACTCAACACAGAAGTTTGACTTATTATAGCTTTCTATTGTCAATAGTCGTCCCTGTAACTTGTCTTTATAAGGGTGACTTCACTTTCATGGTCCAGCTCAAATTAGCACGAATAAGCTGAGTTCTCTGATGCAATTAACACTATAAACACATGACTTATTATGGTCTGAAGATAGTAAGTGTGCACATAAGTCACCTTGGAAGTCTGAATTGTAGTTTTAAACATGTCAGCCATGCTTAGCAGAGTGAACTGAAGGTCTCTTTTCCAATTCTTAATATCATAACATTTCTAACAAAATTTACCCTCTATCATTTGAATTGGCTTGAAAAAGAAATGGGATTTTCATATTGAGAATGAAACAACTTAAGATTTTGTGCACATGTAGTGACCGAATTGAGATGCAAGATAAACAAAGAGAAAGGAATTTGAGGAGAAATAATGTGAATTTTCAGTGTGCTACCTCTCTCTCATTGCACATTGGGATCTGAACAAGAACCATGGGGTACTCGCATCCAATTCCCTCGGCATCGTCCGATTTGAATGGATCCCCCACGATCCTCGGCTTGACTTTCTTGTACTTTATCCACAAACAACCGAGGCAGAGTATCATCCGATCCACGGACTGGATCAAGAACAGAGCCACACAAAAATTGGAGAGTGCTTGAATTGGTGGGGCAATGTAATCAGCTCTAAAAGTCAACCAAGCGACATGAATCATGTGGAGCAAGCCATGGACATCAGTGGTCTGTGGTATGTGCAAGTTTGGGTGCTCGAAATAGTGCCAACCTTTGAAATAAGTGACCACCTCAAAACCCAAAATTACCAGAGAAGTGACCAAGAATGCTCTTATGACTCTGAACAACAACCTTCCTTTGCCCATTTTTTCACTCTCCATGGCCACTCCTTGCCTGAGGATCAGCCTCTTCTTGATGGTGCCAAGCAATGCCCAGAGCACAGTGGCTAACCAAGCCACACAACCCACTGCACGGTTGGCCTTCAGAAGCAAGACCCAAGTCACCTGCTTTGCATTTTTGCCTCTGCTCTTCTCAACTGGCCTGAATGCAGCATCTGGGCCATCAATTTCAACCACAGAGTAATTTGGGTTCTCCATTTTCACCACCACAGGCGTTCCCTTCCTGTTTTCCTTCGCCCACCAATCTGAAAAATCCAACCTTGGAGCCATTTTTCCCTTGAGGTCCTTGGAAAATCTTGAAACCCAAGAGCACAGTTGACTGGAAATCCTCCCTTCTGTGTGTGAACCCGGATCTCAGAATGATGAAAGGAATTCCCTCGTTGCAACAACCGATCAGAAAGATGTGGACCCAGTGGAGGAAGAACGCTCGAAGGAAAGCATTTCAAGGGCCTTTTCCTTTCCCTGTTGGAGATGAACGTGGCAGAGAAAAAGAAAGCCAAGCGAGGAGAGTGCTCGAGAGGTTCTTTTAATGTTTCCCAAATGGACTCTCACTCCTCTTGCAAGCCACAACCAACATGGTTAAAGAGAGAAGAAGCTCCATTATGAGGGAAGGTATCTGCTGGTGAAGCTGTGAAAGACCCTTCTTACACTCCCACTCACTCACTCAAGCATGTGGGCACTTGTCAAGTAATCCAAGATTAAAGCCTCTCTCTTTCTCTCTCTTCCCTTCCTCGCAAGATCAGGGAACTAAAAAACAAAAAAACTACCCTTTGCCCAATGCCCATTTGGTGCATAATTTCATCTCAGAGAATGAGTCAAATTCTGTGAGAGAAATCAAGGGTTAAACTCAGAAAAACCACCTGATTAAAAAACGGTTACACTAAAAAACATGGACCACCTGAGCAAAAGTAGCAAACATTTCATGTTGACTCCAAGTAAAAGCTCCAGTTCTCGCCTGCATCACTAAAAGTCTAAAACGATAATGATTGCAAAAGGGCAAGTGCAAATTCACCAACTCCAGATCTTGCCACAATGTTCTAGATAAGGCTTCCTTCAGGGGGATTGACCAAGATAATCTTTCTTTATAAGTAAAAGGAGAGATGAAAACAGGGGATCGACCAGATTGTTCTCTTTATCAAGCGTGTGAGTAGCAGGGAGCCAATCGAGGAGCTAAACCCGCAATTCTTTTGATATATATATAGATTTTGCGCATAAATTTATGGGAGCGACGGAGAATGGGGATCCTAACCGTCAAGAGCAGCTTCCGGACAAATTATTTAGCCATGCAAGTTCCACATATGATTTTTTAGTAAACAACTTGCCACAATCGCATGTCTATTTTTTGAGAAAACTTTCTTTTTGTTTTGCTGGATGCTCATGGTCGGTTAACACTTTGACTGGTCTTTAGAATGTGACGCTTGAATATATCGAAGGGATTATGATACAAGTGGTCCCTGAACTTTGGCTTAATGTGTAATATGATCCATGTACTTTTTGTTTAATGTGGTCCTTGAACTTTAACTCAATGTGCAATGTGGTCTATGAACTTTTAATTCGTTCACTAAGGTCCCTGAACTTTTGGTACATATTCAATTTAATCCTTGAACTATATGAAAATATTCAATGTTGTCATTCCATTAATTCAAGTTTAAGGACAACATTGAATATTTTCATATAGTTCAAGTACTAAATTGAATATGCACCAAAAGTCCAGGGACCACATTGAATAAAATGAAAATTTAGGGATAATATTGTACATTAGGCCAAAGTTCAGGCACTATCTATATCATTTTCCCTATATCTAATGATTATAGAGCCATGCAAGTCTATTATACTTGCTGCGCGGACCCGCTCGAGCGGTTTTTACGATATTTGCAGTAAAAATTTGCAAATTACTTTGACGTGGAAGGTTCTTGGGCAGATCTCTCCTTAACGCTCTTACCCAGGATGGAGACTTATGGTTTTAGTAGTGGACAATGATCCGGGGACCCTCATCGCGTGCCATTATTGCCCTCCCTAGTATTAAAGACAACAAGTTCAGGTAAGGAAGTTGATGTCTTTCACCGTCACAACAGGCAGTGAGATGAAAAGAGGAAAAGGTTCTCTTGACATATTCTAGTAAAAAAAACATAAGGAAAGAAAGCATAAAGAAATTTAAAAAGAAATTTAAAAAGAAATTTTATATATTGGGTCATGACAGTGATGCCCCTGTGTAAAAGAAAAAAAGAAAAAAAAGTTGATATAATATATAGGAAATGGGTCCATCCTTTGGACTCTGGTTGGCAATTCATTATAGAAAAGTGGTAAAAAAATTAAACAATTTGAATTAGAACAGAGGTCACTAGAAGTGGATGATTGAGGACAAGAAAAATGTTTTCTAGCAAAACAAAAAAAAAAAAAAAAGAGAGAGAGGAGAAGAAAAATTAAGTGGAGATTAGGGTTTTCTGTTTTTTTTTTCTCTCTTGGTTCTTTTCTATGCATCTTCTCTTTTGGCAATTAGGAGTATAAAGCCGTTTTTCCTAATTATATGATTACGGGGTGGTCATTATGATGAAATGCTTAGGTGGAAGGCAGCTTTGGATTTTCATATAGCAATTGGTCATGATGAGGGCTCGCTTTTTGGAGGGGCCATTTTTGTGCTCAAGCCGCCTCGTGGAAGTACAATTAGGAGAGTGATTACATTGGATTCTAAACTTGATGGTTCCCTTTTTCTTTTGGGGTTGACTTATAATAAGAGTTTTAAACTAGCTATAATCCAAGTGTATAGCAATATAATCACCTGTTAGGATGGGGGATAATTACAACAAAATAAAAAATGAGTAAAGTTATTGTACGGACGCCAACTCAGTCTTAAACTTTTTAATTTGACCAATTTAGTTCTAAATCTTTTACCGATTTGTCAATATATTTTGTTTGGCCAATTTTGGTTGGAAATTGCTGACGTGGATGTCAGCCGTATAATGTGGCGTGGCCAGCGCTGACATGAACAATCGTTGTATTTTTTAAATTTTCTATAATTTTTTATCTATTTTTTTGTTGTTTCTTTTTATTTCCCTTTGCTGGTCCATGGCCTTGGTGATGGCCAATGGAAGTTGCCAGTCACAGACGAGGGTGGGGATGCCCTTGTCGGCCCTCGCTATGGCTGACAAGGGCATCACGATCGTTGCCCCGACGCCCTCGCTGTGGTAGGTGATAGCTGCAACACCCTCGCGGGCTTTGGGTGAGGGCAGTTGTAAGGACCCGGGGTCTATACTGTGTAATATTGTCCGCTTTGGGCCCACTGACCCTCACGGCTTTAAAACGCGTTACACAGAGTAGAGAACCCAAGCCTTATAAACTAGCCCAGGACTCGCCCCCCTAAGCGATGTGGGACAAGAGACATGCCCCCCCTTGCCATCCTAGAAGCCTGCCAGGAGCCGCTCCTTGTCTAGGCCCTCTGACCCCGGCGACCACTCCCCGCCCTCGTCGGACCGGGTCGTTACAGCAGTCATCGTCGAGGCCGCGGATCAGAGGAGAGACATACGAAAAAAAAGAAAAAAAAATGACTCAGAGAATTTTCAATAAAAATTGTAAAAATAGTCCACATCCACGTTAGTCGTATCACGTAGGATACGTAACATCTGTGTCAACGATTGCCTACCCAAATTGACGGAGAGGACTATATTGGTACATTGTCAAAAGGTATAGGACTAAATAGATCAATTTAAAAAGTTTACCACTGAATTGACATCCGTAAAATGAATTTAGAACTTTTTTGATAATTTCCCCATTAGAATTGCATTCCGAGTATGGGTATTTCTCAGTTTCTCTTTTCATGAATCCAGCAACATCTGTTTGAAGCTAGTTCTTTTTGCTAGTTGGGGGCACTAAAGAAAATGAGAAAGTATATTTATCCCAATTAACATATCCACAATTCTAAAGTTTGATCTTTTCATAATGTCATCGTTGAAAATTGAGATCTTGACCTAAAGTGATGATTGATGTCAGTCCAAAATCCTTGTTTGGATCGAATACGAATCACAAGTTCTCCCACGTGATCAAGTTGAGTAAACAACCTAGTTCTCTAACTGTACAACTGATCAGAACTCAACCGAACAAATGTTCTTGCAATTCAGGTCAGATGCAGGAATTGTGTCCCATCATTAATGCAAATGAAATTCGTGAAGTATATCACCATAGCTCCTCCATTGATATGACCCCCATGCAACATAAAGGAAGCGTGGCCCTCAAAATAACTCTAGGCTTAAGACTGTGGGATTCAAATGCTGAATGTGCAAAATCTAGGCCATAAGTTTAATCATGGCACCAACAATCTAGCAAAGAAAATGTTTTCCTATTAATAGAATTCAAACAATTGGTAAAAGGAGGAAAAGAAAAACATCCTTCTCACTATTTATTTAGGCCTAATTTCCTTGAAAAATCCTTCACTTTAGGTTTAGTCCCAATCTTTGCCCCAAACTTTTTTTTATCTATAAAAAACCCTAAACTTTAGGTCCAGTCCAAATCTACCATGAACTTTTCTTTGTCATAAGAAATCCTTAACTTTAGGTCCAGTCTCAAATTCTCCCAAATTTTTTTTTGTCTAAGACAAAAATCACCAATATTTACTCTAGTTCCAAATCTGCCTCCATTAGCCTTTCGTAACGGTTTCATTTTGGAGATAATTTTTCATAGGATTTGTTATCGATGAGGAAATGCCACTTCAAGTTGAGATTGGATCACGGGGGTAGATTTGAAAAATTTATTAAAAGTTGGTATTTTTTTAAAGACAAAACAAAATTTGGGGCAGATTTGGTACTAGACCTAAAGTTTGGGGCTTTTTTATACACAAAAAAAAGTTCGGGATAGAATTATGACTAGATCTAATGTTGGGGTTTTTTTTAAGGGAATTAGGCCTAAATCTTTATGATAGAGTTAGCTTTTATTCCTCACGCGCACAATGTTGGACTTTTGGCAAAAAATAAGAAGCTAAGTTTCTAATAGAAAAATGGACAAATTAAGAAAGGGTCCCTGTACTATCTTCTTATTCAATTATGGTTGACGTACTTTATATTGTAACAGATTTGATCTCTAGACAAATCTCCATTCATGATTTCAGGACAAATTCCGTTTTTCATCCAAATATTGGTGTTAAAAAGTTGACTAAGTATCGAAGATGAACACTTCATGTCGATAAGGGATAAAAAATATTTGAGATAAAATTACAAAGATGGTCCCTATACTGTGCTCATGTTCAATTTCGTTCCTCGTACTTTATTTTTTCGACAAATTTGTTCCATGAACTAATTTCTCATCCCCATTTCCAGGTAAATTTCATATTTCCATCCAAATACAGACAAAATTGCTGACCAAGTGTCAGAGATTAACATGTGGTGTCGAGGTGGTATGGACAGTGCAAATTTTAATGACCTAAGCCTAGAGTTGTAAAAATTCGGTCTAGTCCACGTGGATCAAATCCCCCAAAAACGATATTTAAGTGTCCACTCTTTAGGAAATACCGCTACTAGTTCATCAGTTTTTTCACTGATTATAAATATCGATGCTACATGTTATACTTGGTACTTAGTCATAACTATTTGTTTGCATTTGGGTGGTAGAATAGGAAAGTTGTCCTAAAATCAGGATCAAAGATTACTTCAGGGATCAAAATTGAACAAGATCAATAGTGCAATGACCATTCTTGGAGTTTCTCCTCACT